CAGCAGCCATTTGGGTTCTATATCATTCTCTGTATTATACATGGAGAGAAAATAAGGCTCAGAAACTTAGAGTGATGTGCCCAAAGCTACACATCTGAAAGAGCTTAGAGTTGAAGTATGTTCCCTCTGGTTCCAGAGTCCATATTCTTTCTGTATCACACTGCTTTTTCAGCTAGAGACTAGGGTATTTGGGAATTTAGTCTCGTCCTTGTGTAAAGTCTTCTGGAAGATTTCAGGATAGGAACTAGGGGAAGAATTCACTCTGACCCGTTCCATTTAGCATCTGATGATGGAGTTCCTGGGGGCTGGGCCAAAGGTTGTTTCCCAGCCTCCTTGGCTGGGTGATGCAGCAAATGCATCCAAAAATATGCTAAAGGAGAGAAAGGCCTTTATAATGAGCCTGGGCTTTCCTTTGTCTTGTGAGATTTTAACTACTGTAATCGCCTGTAATGTGAAATAGTGTGTTTTTCTATGTATCTATTTTTATTGTGTATCTGCTTTTTTGTTTTGTTTTGTTTCCTGTTAACTCACTTGGATCCTAGTGGGTATTTTTCCTGTGAATAGTTTTGCCTATTCACACGCCCTCATACACACACGCACACACACACACACACACACACACACACACTCACACACACACAATAATAATATGAAGGCTAAATGGAGTAGAATTTATTCTTTAAAGAAAGCTAATGGTAAAGTCTAAGCTGATGACTTTCTAATCCATACTGTATTTAATTGGCTGTATTGAACCATAGTACAAATTAAGTCTTCTCTGTAATTTATTCTGTCAGATGGTAACCCTCCAAACAATTTGGTACTTCATTTAAACATTGGGAAATGGCTCATGGAAATGCTAATGAAAAAAAAAAGATTTAATGATGATCAGATAAGAAACCCTCTGTTCACAAAATGAATCCTGTGTGACATGTCGTAAATTAACCTGATTCAACCATTCATCGAACACTTACTGAGCAACTACCTTGTGCAGTGTATGTCTTCAGATGGCTTGGTTCTTCCTTCTTTGTTTAATTTATCAAACATTATTTAGCACTTACTATTCAAAAGGAACAGTATTAAGAGCTAGAATAAGATTGAGGAGGACCAGACATGGATCTTTCTCTTAAGGAACTAACATCCCCAGAGTGGAGAGAAAACATGTTTTCAGGATCTAGAGGCTTTTGGCAGTGCTTTAATATCTCGACTGTTTTTCCAAGACAAAAATTGTTTTCCAAAAGGAATGTGGAAGAAGGACGACCAGAATCTGTCTTTCCTCCACCCCTTCCCTCCCCGCTCCAGCCCCGGGTTCTCTGCTGCTTCCAGAACTACACCTGAGCCCTCAGGAACTCCCCACAGGAGCACTGGGATGAAGCAGCCCTTACCTCCCTCACCTCTTCTTTCCAGTCTTGACTGCTCCACGGATACCACAGGCGGCCTGGCTCCTGAGAGTAAACTTCCAGATCGTGCTGACTTGTCTTTTTTCTTTGAGATCCTTCTGGCTGGCCTTTACCCAAACCTGATTTATGGCCTTCTCTGACCTCAGATACCTGCTGGAATCCAGAACAGCCTCAGCTCTGCTTCCCTACCCAGCAACCAATCCCCTTCTTCACCCCAGCGTGTCGGGGGTCATGGTTTTGTTGGTGGACTAGGGAGCCAGGATTCTCAGGAAAGGAGACCATGATTCTACATAATCGTGTTTCCTTTTTTCAATGCTTTGTCATCCTGCGTAGGGAAAACAGGACCTGGGTTTAGTACTGGGCCTGCCAGAACTCTCTCTGAGCCTCAGTCCTTTTATGAATAAACTCAGAGTTGAAATAGATGGTGTTTAAGGCTGCGACTGTCTTTGACTGTACTGATAAAATCTCCTAGAAAGACCTGGAGCAATTTTGAGGCTCAGTGAACCAAGTATTTGCAAGATCCTCTGAGTTGCCAAGATGAATGTGATAAATACAACTGCGGGATTAGCAGGATTGTAATGTATTTGTATTTCCAAGTATCTATATTATATCTGCATAGCTAAGGTTATAGAAAGTGGAGACATATCCCTTCACTGAATCTTAGTTTCCAAATGAATGAGCCACTTTCCCAGCAATCCTTTTTAACATGTCATAAAATTAACTGTGAGAAAAGATAATGTTACGAATATCTTTAAGCACTCCATGCACACACACAGCTACTCTTTGCAAGGCAATAGTAGGTATCATCAGGCATTAAAAAGGTTTTGATTTTAAAACACTTAATGAGGATTCACAGATAAATTACAACATCTCTGTCTGCCGCCTTGCACCGTAGGTGATATTTTACCATTGCACAATCATCGCCAAATCTAATTCCACCAGGAAGACTTCTAATCGCGGTTTAATTTTAGAGCAATATTCCACTTGGCAATCAATAAGCTACTGTCGTCAAACTTTGATTTAATAGGAGACGTGGATAACGTTCTCCGCATTATGCGGAGAGAGAGAGAGAGACTTTGAGGAAAGGGAGAGGAGAAGGTCTTTGTCTCCTACCTCCCCTGCTGCCTACATTTCGAGCTCACAAAAGCCTATAAATCAATACCCCCTCATAGTGTGAATATAAGTCTCATCAATTTTACATCATTAACACCATGAAAAAGCTACCATTCTTTGAGCAATTTTCCTCTGCTAGCTAAATATGTGCTCTTAATAAAACAAGAATGAATGGATCCTGATTATCCTACTAGCAAACACTTCCTTCTTCACCAGCCTTATTTATGTTGAAATCCACTAGAATTATACAGTTATGCCCACTTGAGCAGCTAGGGATACCGGGCACTGCCAGCGCCCTCCAAGCATGATGACCGGTGGGCAGTGGGCAGCCTGGACAGGGCGTGAAGCTGAAGGGGAGTGTAGAGGATAGTGAATGGTCAGACTCTGGAAGGTTTAGGTGTGGCAGCAAATTCTGCAGGGATGATTCATAAAGTCAGAAGCCTAGAAAGATGGCAACAGGCTGGGAACAAACGTTTTGAAGGGCCAGGGCCATTGGTCCAGAATTGAGGTGATGACTGGCATGGAAAGCAGATGTCCACTGTCCTCAGAGGCTGGCTCTGTGAGGGGAGGTCCTAATGGCTAACAGATCCAGGGAGATGGAACGAGACCTTAGAGAACATCTACTCCAGTGGTTCCATGTTTTCATAACTTTGTTCCCATTATGTCCATGTCTCCTTCCCTCCATGGACTCAGTAAGGAGGAAGGTTTTGTCCACCCTAAAAAATGCATTTATAAATCATTCACTTTCTTATTTGAATTACTTGAACCCATAATGAATTTCCACAGAGAACCTCCTCAAAGATGAACTAAAGAGCACAGCAGTAACCTGATACAGTTCCAAATAACTTGGCATTTCCATTTGTTTGCACAGTGAAATGTGTAGATTTATTAGGAATAATTATAAATTTCTGTTTAGCTGTTTAAAATGTTGAAAATTGCTTTGGAGCTCTTTTTATTACCTTTAATGACCCCAATAGATCCAAGGCTTTGGATCTGATATAAACATCTCATTTGATGGAGGAATGAACTGAGGTCCAGAGAGATGCAGTGAGTGCTTTATGTTCACATAGTGGCTAGAATTCAAGCTTCTTAATAGTCAGTATCATAAAAAGGCCTTTAAAGATATAAGGATTTTAAGCAGATCATATAATGCGCAGATGCCTACATAACCCTTTACAGAGTACTGTTTAATGAGGGTTTATTTAAGTCGATTTAATAGGAAAACAGTTGTAAAGATCTATGTCACCAACAGGATGGTGAACATTATTTGTCGAAGCTTAGATAATAAAGGCAGGGAGGTCCATTTCAGAAGATTTTCAAATTACTGATTAGCTCTCCCAGTTTCCCTCATTCGACAGCAGTGGGCCAGGCACAGCGCAAGGTGCTGGGATGACAGAGTTGAGGAAGACAGAGCCAGGTGGGACAGACGGACAGGGGACCAGGCAAACATATCAGAGAAGGAAGCTCTGGGAAAGCAGGCGCCCAGGGGGCTGTGTGCGAGGAGTCCCTCGGGAGTGTCACTATCGCTGGAGGCAGCCGTTCCGTGGGAACGCAGAAGGAAGGAGTTACCTCGGCCGGGGGAGGGAGGTGGGCCTTGTTCGGGGAGGTTTCACAGACGTGGTGCTATTTCACATGGCCTTTGGAAGGGAAATAAGATTCAGGCAAGTGGATATAAGAATGGGCATTGCAGACAGAGGGACTAACGCATGAACAGCCTCAGAGATATGGGGGACCCCACCTCTAACCCAAATGGTGACTTTGGACAAGTTAGAGAAAGAGATTTGGTCCTCAAGACACCCAATCACCACCTGTCCGAAAATTGTAACCATGCAAAGGCTGTGAATGGCGCCCCCTGTGGCCATACCCTGTACATCTCCCACCAGGGCCCGGTACCTGAGTGTGTTCGGTGTCCTGCCAGAACTGAGACAAGGCTGCATCGTGAAGGTCGCGGTCGCAGAAGCCTCTNGGGGACCCCACCTCTAACCCAAATGGTGACTTTGGACAAGTTAGAGAAAGAGATTTGGTCCTCAAGACACCCAATCACCACCTGTCCGAAAATTGTAACCATGCAAAGGCTGTGAATGGCGCCCCCTGTGGCCATACCCTGTACATCTCCCACCAGGGCCCGGTACCTGAGTGTGTTCGGTGTCCTGCCAGAACTGAGACAAGGCTGCATCGTGAAGGTCGCGGTCGCAGGAGGCTCCGCTACTGAGGGGAACCCACTGGCTCCGGCAGCTGGAGGGAGCCACCGCCCCAGACGCTCACGCAGCATATGAGCAGCCCTGTTTATCTCTCCGGTCACAGCACCGGGACCTGGGAGGGGAGCCTCCGTCTCTCAAGGGCAGGCACAGCTCTTTTTCCTTCCATCTGGACCAAGCAGCTTTTCCAAAGCCCTTCGGGCCTGTTCGCACGTAGCTGAAACGCATCTCTTGTTGATTAACAGCTCGAAGGGAAGGTCCCCTGAAACGCTCTCCCGTTTGTCTCTCACAGGCCCTTCAGCATCATCATGCTGTTCACGAAATTTCCTACATCGCAAAGGACATCACAGATCACCGGGCCTTTGGCTACGTTTGTGGGAAGGAAGGGAATCACAGATTTGTGGCCATAAAAACAGCCCAGGCGGTGAGTACTGAGCACCCCATCCAAGGAGGGTGCCTCCCCTAGTAACTGTAGGGGACAGAACAGTCACCCTCCTGGCCCCTGAAAGCCCACTCTGACGTATGACTCAGCGATGCCCATACTCAGGTTCCCATCTAGAAAAGATAAACAGCCTCAAAACAGGGAAACACCCTCACGCCCGTCCGGTTTTGTTGCTGTTTTTTCTAATGGGTATTTCGTAAGGACTAATTATTTTCCTTTCTGATTAAGCCCGATGGAGGCACAGTATACAAATAAGTTTCCTTGTGTTCATAGCCTCATTTAAAAAGAAAATAAGGGAAAACAAATAGCTATTTTGCATAAGGCCTACCCTAATTTTATTGTATCTGAAATTACTAATAAATAAAAGCATTGCCTTTTATGCCTATGATTATTATGAATTTACAAATATAATTAGTTGGAGAAATGAACTTTAGCCTAGATGCAATTTGCTAAACCAATATAAGCAAGGTAGAGTTAATTAAAGATGGAATGCTTTCAGTTTAATAGGAAAAGGAAGAACTATGGGTTGCAGACAGCAAACACAAAAGTGGTTCTCTGCAGCTCAGTCGCATCCCCTTATTAATGCGTTTTACCACCTCTTACTCCAGGCTGAACCTGTTATTCTGGACTTGAGAGATCTCTTTCAACTTATTTATGAATTGAAGCAAAGAGAAGAATTGGAAAAAAAGGCACAAAAGGATAAGCAGTGTGAACAAGCTGTGTACCAGGTATACCTGTGAATTTATCCCGGTACAAGGGAAGATTGGGGCTTAAAATAAACAGATGTGAAAACTGACAGTCAGGGCTTTTCCTCCTGCCGCCAAATAGCAATAAAGATGAAAGGTTCCTGTGTAAATTAGAGGCACAAAAGCAAGCCATTAGAAACGATCCCTTATCCTCTGAAATTCTAGACATGTAAGAGAAAGTGAAATCTCGAATCCAGAGGAAGATTTCAGGGGAGGGCAATGAAAGAAAACACAATTGCTTTTGCTGTTGTTACAGTGAGTTGGGGGTGGCTATGAGGGTTTTGATTTGTTTTTTTCTGTGTTTTCTGTCTTAATGGCCTACCAGCCTATCCTACGCAGAGCTGGTTTCTTTACTGTCCCATAACTTCTGAAAACAGTCTCACATCTCTCCTTCTATCCTCTGCTTTGCACCCCCCTGCCCTCACTCTGCCGTAGACCATTCTGGAAGAAGATGTGGAAGATCCTGTGTACCAGGTAATCTCTGGAACCAGTCGGGGTTTTAGGGTCAGGAATGGCTAGGCCTGTGCTGTAGACGTTGTGTCTGAGACCTGAAGCATCTCCTGCCTGCAGAGCCTGGAGAGGGACCGAGCTGGTCTCTGAGTGTGACGGCTGCCAGCCCCTCCACGAGCGAATTTCCGTAAAAATGAATCGAAGTTTGGCCAGAATCAATGACACGAGGCTCCCTGCCTCGGCCCGCTCTGCGGTCTGCAAACGTCCGATCCCAGGGCCGAATGTTTTCACCAGTCTCTTGACTATTCTGAGTTCATGAGAGAGCCTGAATGACGAGGTGGCTTGTCAGAGTTAAGAGTGGGAGATGGGGACTGACATTTTGACATTTGAACACAAACTCAAAGGACAGTTTGTAAGCTTTAGAAAGGCTGTGAGGACAAGTCTCTCAGAGCCCTGATCGGCCCGGCCGTCCCTCTGATTAGCTGGCTCATGCCACAGGGGCTGTCGTGAGGAGGGAATGGGGGACCCTAGAGACGTCCCAGCCCGTAGCTTCCCCTGCACTCTCTTCAAGGTTGCAGCCCAGGTGTGTGTAGAGATAACTTCTCTTGGGCTCAAGTATGTGCTGTGTTCAAACAGATGCAGAGAAAGGGAAGACGAGGCCTCTCTCTCTCCCTCCCCTTGCCCCAGTGCTTATTCCCAAGGAGAGGAAGAAGCCCAGACATGGACTTGTTGGACATAAAAGAAAACCTGAAACTTATATTTCTAACTGGGACTCACACGGGTTATAGATGTGTGTGTGTCACGTATGCATATGTGTGAATGAATATTTTCACACAAAAAGCTGCTATGACAAAAGTAAAATAATGCGGATTTTAAAATTTAAAGGCAGCATAATGTGAGTAGTTTGCAGTAGAAGAAGAATCATGCATGTAAGTCTAACAGAAGTCAAAGATGCCCTTAAGGACCACCCTGGCTTCACAGTGAATCCGAGGCGAGGACTTGTTTGTAATGTGACCTCAGTCCCTGGTTGACTGGCTCACAGAGAATGAAGAGCGTTGGCCTTTTTGAAACAGCCCAGTCCTTTAGAGTCAGAAACGTGCACATGGACGATTTGGTATCCAGTATTTAAAACTGAGAATGTAAATTAAGGTGATATTTATGGGACGAGGGAATTTGGGCTTCTGAGCCCTTCAAAGTTGGCTTAGGAACCTAAGCCTTAAAGAGCAAAGGGAGGAGACCGCTGTGATCCAACGTTTACAGCGTTGGGATCCAGGCATTCCCAGGAGATGTCATTCCCCCTCAGCAGTGCCAGCTCAGGCAGACATTGCCGAGATAAATACCATCGAACGAGGGAGGCTATAACTCCAGAAAGATCTCCTGGGCCCCATGCAACCATCACGAAGGACTGACCATCAGACATTGGCAGATTTCTTTAGAAAAAGCAGAAATGTGCAAGGCCCACTGGTGTTCCAACAATTCCGTTGTCTAAGATATTTTCTCTTGTGTCTGTTTCTGTGATGCTCACTGTGATTTGTATCTTCAATCCCAAATGCTTTTTTCCTGTTTCTTTTTCCTCTGACCTTTCCTCTCTGGCCGCTGCATAATAGTACATTGTGTTTGAGGCTGGACATGAGCCAATCCGTGATCCCGAAACGGAGGAAAACATTTATCAGGTATCAAATCGCTTTTTTCTCTTAGCTTAGCACCACGACCAGCAAATGCTCTGCCAGATCTGAGGACCAAGGGCTCGCTCCTCACACGCTCCCCTGGGTTGTTCCAGGCTTGTTAAATACCTCTGCATGAACTGATCATTGGAATGGTTAATGGCCAGTTGGGTACAGTGTTTTAGCTTTTAACAGATCTTAACTGTTTTCAGTTGACGCCAAAATTGAATATTCCATGTTACTAAAGTAATTCATTGGAGGGTTGTTGTCCACACTATATCAGAGTCCTTTTGTTTCTCAAAAGAATGTGCTCACCGAGTTTCTTTAAAACGCTAACCATACCACTGAAAATGAAGTGCAGATTCAAAACTGCTACTCGAAAACAACATTGGGAAAATTAACTGAGTAAAAGAAAGTGTGGCTAAAGGTTTGAGCCCTTCTGAAGGGAAGGTAAATTAACGTTCTTAAATGTCTGCTTGTGTGAAAAACCACGAACACACTTTCAATCCATTAATTCTCACAAGTATTCTATAAAGCAGGCATTCAAATCCTACTTTTACAGGGGAAGCTGAGACTCAGAGAAGTTGAGGAGCCGTCTCAGGGCCAGACAGCTATTTAGAGCTGAGATCAAACCCCGGCACGTGTGTGAAGGCAAAGCTCACTCTTCTTCCCCCTGCTCTTCCATCAAAGAGTTGGAGTAATTGCAGCCTCGCAACACATCAAATAAATATGACGACCTCCGGTTTTCACTAATTAGAATTTGAGTCTTAATTTGAATATAGACATTAGAAAAGTAGGAAAAATGTTAATGTATTTCATAAGTGATTTTCATTTTCTTAATTTACGTAGTTGTGTGGCCTGTTATTCCGCCTTGGGTGCGCACAACTTGCGGAATAAAAATAAAACAGATTTTCCGTTTCCATCAGATGGACAGAATTCTAAACGAGCAAAGTATAATGTTAGCTATGTCAACAGCTCGGCTTCAGCCAGCCCCATGGAATATAATAGAAGCACAGTGGACCCTTGAACAGTATGCGTTTGAGCTACATGGCTCCACTTATACTCGGATTTCTTTCAATAAATATCTGCACTGCTTTTGACCTTTGGTTGAGAATCTGAAGATGCAGAGGGCCAACCGTATGGATTGGTCTGTGTCCTTCTGCATAGGGGACTTGAGCACCCACCAGCCTCGGGGTCCCGGTGGGAAGAAGAAGAAGGGGTGTCCCGGAACCCATTCCCAGTGAGTACCCCAGACAACTAAGTTTTCGGGCAGCCACAAGTTATACACAGATTTTAAGCTGTGGAGGGAGCAGATCCCCTAATGCCCGCATCGTATTTCTGTCCACCAGATTGTCTGGATTGGATTCAAGTGGGAGGTTGTGCTTCGAGGTTTTGTTTAAAACCAGCACTGATGAAGTTATGTCTTCAAACAGATAAGCTGCATCTTTGTCTTCAGTGTCAGATTTTCAAGTACAGCTTGGCAGTGTCTGAATGAGACCAAAGGAACCATTAATCCTCTGAAGAGAGAGCACCATTTATTTATTTATTTTTAATTTTTATTTTTTTATTACAGTTTACTTTCAATGTTATTTTGTATTGGTTTCAGGTGTACAGCGTAGTGGTTAGACAAGCATATGCTTTACAAAGTGATTTCCCCGATATTTCCATTACCCACCTAGCGCCATACGTAGTTACTACAATATTACTGACTACATTCCCCAGGCTGTGCTTTACATCCCCGTGACTATTTGGTAATACCAATGTCTACTTCTCAATCCCTTCACCTTTCTCACCCGGACCCCCATCAATAGAAATGCTGTGTTCCGTATACACAATGGAGAGAGCACCTTTTAAAATAATAGTCCCTTCAATATAAGGGGTTTCTGAATTCAGTCATAGTTGTAGTTGGCAGGACTCCCATTGTACCCTGGGGGGAGGGGGGGTTAGGCAAGTGGAGAACTGGGTTCTGGTTCTGGCACCGACCACCTTTGGCTGAGTGGTAATGGCCAGGGTACTTGCCCTCTCAGAGACTCAGTTTTGTCATTGGGGAATAATTTCTCCCTAACTCACATATTGGGTGGAGAACAAAACAAGCTCATGTGGAGAAAGTAGGAAGAGGCTTAATCTGGGTCACACACGGAGCGCGCCGTATGCAGATTTGGGATCTGAGCACAAGCACTACCAACTCAGTCATTATGCCTGAGAGGGCAAGTACCCTTGCCTCCTCTGGACCTCAGTTTACTCATCTGTAAAATGAGTCAATGAAACTGAGGAGTCTCTTAGGCAATGGCCCTTTTCTGCTCTTTGCAGCCGGTTGCCTCATGATAGGCCTGTGAGTTTTCAGAAGAGCACGTTGGCTTGTGTTACAGGGCAACGGGGCTCTGGGGAACAGTGTGTGTGTGTGTGTGTGTGTGTGGTTTTGGTAACATTTGTTGAGTGCTGATTATGGGCCACTGTGTGAATGAGGGTTTATATGCAGTCTCTTAATATCCCTCAAAACAGCCTGATGTGTCTTGGACCATTATCCCCATATCACAGATGAGGAAAGTGAGGCTCCCAGGGTCACAGGAGGTAGAGCTAAATCCCCACTCACACCCCGGTCTCTGTGAACTTTGCAAGTGCGTAGATTAATCCTGAGGCTCTCTTCAGCTCAGAAAATGCTGATGCTGAGTCTCAATCAGATTCTGTGTAGCTTCAAGTCCCTACCTAAAAATCACACTTTTACCAGTTCTGACCTCCATCTTCCTGTCTGTCCATCACTAACAGGAAGGTACCATTTAAGAGAATGGTTATTTTATCACCCTCTATTGGAAAGGCCTCTGGTCATTTTCCTCACTTGCAGTTGCCAGGCTAGGCCTCAGTTTGCTTAACAAGAAATAGACTCTTGGGCCTGAAGATAAGGCTGGGCTTTTAGGGAGCTGCTGTTAGGAGCCTCGTTATTTTTTAAGGGCCTCCCAGTATTCAATAGCCGTTCCTCCTGAGTAGGTTGCAAGGTTTCTTACACTTCAGCTTCGCCCAGGTTGGACTCAGACTTCATTCCATCTCCTGGTTTCTGGAACAAAGTAAAGGGACCGGGGGCCTAATCCTTTAACTATTTTACGACCTTGAGTGAAGTATATAACTTTCGTGTCTCGATTCCCTGAGCTGTCAAATAAGGATACACTGTTATCTGCTTCTAGAAGTGATGCGAAGATGTAAAGTGAGAAGGACAGCACTTGGGACCTAGTAGGTTCCATGTAAAGGCTAGTTCCCTTCACTTCCCAACATCGTCAGCACCAGCTGCCGCCCAGGGTGTCTGATGATGATGAGTTAACCGAAGGAGAACATGACTTGCTCTTGTGAGAGAGCCCAGCAGCAAGCTGCAGCCTCTCCTCACTGCCATTTATAGCCCCAGCCTAAGGGAGGCAGAGGCTGTTGAGTAAACGTAGCCTCTCTTCGAGGTTCACCAGTTTCATTCCCCAGCCCGGATTGAGAATAGTAGTTGTCTTTCTCTTTGCGTGCCTCAGAAAGAGTTAGCAGCCGGCCCTGTGAAATGACACAGAGCCTCGCAGTTCAAAGCGTTTTTACACCGTACTCAGTTTTAACCCTTCTGGTAACTTGGTGAGATAAGAGTAGCCATGATGACAGTCATGATGACAATAATTTTAAATGTAAGAATGGCAAGTCCTCCAATCCAAGCCCTGGGTTCAAGGCCAGAGCCTCTGATCCGAAACTCAGTTTTCTTTAGTTTCTTAATAAGCTTCCTGCGTAAGCGAGATCACAGTTTCCTGTGCAGGCATTCTCCAGTTTTGTTCATTCAAAAATTATTTTTAATCACCCACAATGTGTCAAGTATCATTATTTTAAAACGGTACGTCTCTAGTCCTATTCACACTATTAATATGGGGCTGAACTGAAAGTGTCTTCTGTAGGTACAGTACTGAGTATATAGATTTTAGAGTCATTTCACATCTATGAACTCATGCATTTAAAAAGTAATTATGCTCGGCTGGGTGTGGCTCAGCAGTTGAGCATCAACCTAGGATCCAGGCAAAAGGGGTTTGATTCCCGGTCAGGGCACATGCCCGGGTTGCGGGCTCCATCCCCAGTGGGGGGCGTGCAGGAGGCAGCCGATCAATGACTCTGTCATCAGTGATGTTTCTGCCTCTCTCTCCTCCTCTTCTTTCCTCTCTCTGAAATCAATAAAAATATATTTTTTTAAAAAGGAAAAAAAAGTAATTATGTATCCAGCACCTAACAAGTGACCGGTTCATGAGGATGTAACAGTGACACGGCAAGGTCCCCACCCTCAAGGGGTTTATAGGCAACCCCTTGGATGCTCACGACAACCAGGCAAAGAAACAGTGCAGAGCACAAGTGGCCTCTGAGGTCGCGCAGCCAGCCTGTGGCAGAGCCAGGGTCAGGAACTAGACCTCCGCTTCCTTTTGGGCCTGAACTGTTACCACGTCATGTTACTGAACTGATCCTCCGAACACGGAGCAGCCGGGGGGCAGGAGAGCCAGGAACCACGTTCTTCTGGTCCTCACCCCGTTAGCACCTCTGCCGGTGCCCTGCCCTCAGCGCCCATGTGCTAAATGTCTGATGCTCAGACGTTTCTTGTTTGACCAGTGTTTACAGATGGCAGAGCAAGGATGAGAAGCTAGCCCCTGCCCGCAGCAGGCCTGCCGAGCAGCGGGCAGGCGGAGGGGCCAGGCAGCTGCCGTGGGGTTTCACGGGTCCTGCGTGAAACCGCTTACATGCCACGGGAGCAGCCTGGCTCCCTTCATCTCCCCAGCAAGACAGGGAGCTCTGGGCAGTCGGGCCATGTCCATCTTGTGTTCCATCATCGTCCCAGGTGGAACACGGTGCCTGACACACGATAGGTACTTGGCAACTTTTATTTTTAATGAAAGGATACACCGGAGGTCACAGGAGTACAGAGAAAGGTTCCACCTCGGCCCGGAGAGTCAGGCAAGGCTCCCAAGAAGATATCCCGGCTGAGATTCATTTTAAAGGACAAACAGGCAGATTGATATCTCACCCATGGGAGAGCCGAGCAGAAAAGCTTTTTCAATTATGCACAGTTTGGGTTCCTCCATCCCACCGCTCTTCCCCCATTTGCAGGGATAATTGAGAGTCAGCAGCATTCAGCTTGCTAAGTGCCCACAGTGAGCGGTGAATTACGGGAACAGAAATGCTGTTCGTTGTGCTCAGGAAAGGGTGAGCTGGTGAAAATAAAGTGCGGGCTGGTAATTCAGTGGCCCTCCTTTACAAGGACTCTGCGGGCATTCTTAGAGGATTCCTTTTAGATGGAGCCCAGTTATCAGAAGCAGAGAAACTGCATTCTTCCCTGGTTACCTGCAAAGGAAGGTTTGCAAGAGCGGCTCCAACGTGCGTCTTCGCACAGCCGTGCTCATGTGTACTCCCGTTGTCTGCAAGAATGTGCATGAGCTTCCAGGCCTGTAGAACGTGAGGGCACAGAAACAGAAAGCCTTGGAACGGCTGTAGGAATGGGGCGAGATACGCTGTCCACACAGTATGGTAGTTAGAAGGCAGTCTGCCCAGGCCGCTCCTCCTGGCTCCCCTGCTCACGGACTGCAGGACCCCCTCCAGGCCTTACTTTCCTCCTCTGGAACACAGGGACCTTCGTCACCCCTATCTGAGCAACTTGTCCTGAGGGTTACGTGAGAATGCACAAAAAAGGATGTTTAGAATAGTGCCTGGCCCATAGAAAGGCCTCATCGATGTTAGCTCATACTGTTAGTAATAAATGTCTTGTTCGGTAGCCAGAAAGAGCTGCGTTTGAATCTGATCACTTCCTAGCTCTGAAGCTTTGGGCAAACTCTCCAAACATCTCTGAGTCTCACTTTCCACTATTTAAAGTAGAGGATGTGGTACCAACCTCTTAGGATTACTGTAAGGATTTTAAGTTAAATGAGAGTGAAAAATGACAAAGGGACTCCCGGGATAAGCTCAAATTCTTACTTCTCTAAGAATGGATTGGTTACCTGGCCCGAGCCTAAAAGATAGATTTTTTCTTCACTATTTCCCACATTCCTCTATGGAACATTTACCCAGCACACATGTACTGAATTGAATGCCTACTGTGTGTCAGGCACTGTGCCTGCTCCGAAGGCGCTCCCGGTCTGATGAAAGACATGTTGTCAGACAATCTAAAACCACTGTTGGCTGATCCCTCCAATGGAGCTGTGAGTTGAGCTCTGCGAGGTGCTGGGGAGTGACAACTAATGATTACTCTCTATCTGGGACATTTCAGTACAAAGCCTGTGATTGACAAATGAGAACAGCATTCAACATACCCACTGCTGTTAGTATTATGCGTTCATAAATATACCTATATAATGCAGTTATGATAAAAGAAGCTATCATTCTAACATTTACAGTATTACAGTGCCTAGTAGTTTATTATTTCTTATTTTCTCATTTGATCCTCACAATAATCTGAGAGAGCAGAGCCAGTAGCACCCATTTTGTGAGTGTAGCTCAGAGGAGCCAAGTAACTGGCTTTGGGTGTTACAGTCATTACGTGGCCCAGTCAGACCAGATGAATGTGTAAGAGAAAAGAGGAAGAGATGACGCAGATACGTGTTTTTCAAAAACCGAGATTTTTCTGGACTCTAGTCTCATGCTTTTCATACCATTCATTTCTGGGTCCTTTCCTTGAACAAAACCTTTGGTAATTATCCAATGGCTTGTACATGATCCCAACAGAAGCGGTACAGAGGACCTTGGCACTTGTTATATTTTAAGTAGCCTGGATCTCAGTCTTAGCACTGAGCGATGTAAGCTCAATTGCAAGCTGTTTTTAATCACTTTGGGCAACTCAGAGAACCTCCTTGGGCCTCAGTTTCTTTTTCAGTGAAATGAGGATTATTAGTTTCGCCACATGATTGCTGAGGCTTCTGCAGCTTTCATTCTGTGATTCTGCAAGGAGCCCAGAGGCATAGACACCCTGCAGACATTTATTAAATGACTCACATGCACCTGCCTCCCCATCTGGTTTCCCTAAGAGAAGAAGCCTGGCCCACTGCTTTCATGGCCCCTTGCAGTGGGCCCTGGCACTGCAGGGTCTGTCCTCACGCACTGGCCATCTTGGAGTTGGGTTCTGGTTTCTCTGTTCCTTCACAGGGGAATACCAGAGTGTTTTGACTGTGCTGAATTTGATTTTCCCATAGGTTCCCACCAGCCAAAAGAAGGAAGGTGTTTATGATGTGCCAAAAAGTCAACCTGTAAGTGTAAGTACATCTCCTTTCTACCGCCCGGTTCCTGTGACCAGGATTCATGTGTCTACAATCTGAGGAAAGGAGCTTCTGGATGAGGGTCACAGCCCCTATGGCTTTGCTGGGGACAGCATGCTGGGACCTCCTCGGTGGGTCAGAGGAAGGAGGCATATGGGACAGAATGTGGGGCTGAGGAAGGGGTGCCAGTGTGGATGAAGATCTGGCTCCATGAGTGGGAACGAGTTGACTCGTGCAAACCACCATGTCCAAGGGGCTCGAGGGTTCAGGTGTCCCATGGCAAAAGTCTTCAGCCAAAGACTGTATTGCACCTGGTCAAGTAGGGTACAGTGTCTTTGTTCTGAGAATACTTTTGCTCATCCAACTTGGGAGTGGTTGAGAGGTTTCAGGGGGGCGATAGAAGAAGGGCTAGTCAGGACCTTTAGAGTGTGTAAGGGTCCAACCAGTGGGCAGAAAACCGTGTACAAGGTCATGTGTAGTGGGCTTACAGAGGACCCAGGAAATCCACTGAATCTAGTCCCCACGTGCTGATGGGACTCCTGGAAATGCAAGAGGGACAGGAAATTTCAAGCTCTGTGGTATGGCCCCAAGGCACTCTAGGCCCAAACCTACACTTAGGACCTCCACTTGGCACTCTGAAGGCAACCTCTATATATAATTTAAGGAGTACTGGGGAGCCAGTGAAGGCTCTTGAGCAGAGGGACATGAGATTTTGCCACAGCCTATGTAAAACAAACAAAAAACTAAGGCCTTTAATCAGTATTGATCTCAATCAACTCAACAATTCNCCAAGGCACTCTAGGCCCAAACCTACACTTAGGACCTCCACTTGGCACTCCGAAGGCAACCTCTCTATATAATTTAAGGAGTACTGGGGAGCCAGTGAAGGCTCTTGAGCAGAGGGACATGAGATTTTGCCACAGCCTATGTAAAACAAACAAACAAAAAACTAAGGTCTTTAATCAGTATTGATCTCAATCAACTCAACAATTCGTGGAAAGAGTGTGGGCTTGAAGTCAGGCAGACCCTCAAGAATCCCAGCTTTGTCCCTAAGGAGCTGTTGTGAGGCTAAATGACTCTCTCTGGAACGTTGTAATGGGTCTGGACCCCACACTCTGGGAGACATAAAGACACACCTGTGTGTTCGAAGATCAGATTGATAAGGGGGTTTGAAAACCCCATCCCATGAGGAGTAGCTAAAGGACTTGGAAATGTTTGGCCTTGAGAAAAGAAACCATGGGAAAGAAAATACAGAGATGGGAGTCCAGAGCACCCCATAACCCTAGGGCGCTCACCTGCACTGGCCCCTCTCATGTTCTGGTTTCACAAATAGCACGTTAGGATGCTCGTTTTCTCATTTTCATTTGGGCCTGTAATGTCCCCTTTTCCTAACAGATTTGTTCCCCTTCACCCTTTCCTGGGAACTCTGAGCCAAGATCAGGATTAATCCCACTCACTCCTGGAAATACACATCGCAGGGCAGCTGGAAGCTGTGCACAGGGGCCGATCTCTCCTGTATCTTAAATACATGGGCATATTTTTTATCGGGATCTCTGAAATCCAGTGGCAATAATGCTTGCTGACAGGAAATGTTAAATGACTAGAGAGACAGGGAGGTTTCAGGCAAGAGCGTATACTTTAGGCAAAGTTTTGAAAGATGGCAGGACTGGAACAGGCAAGAGAAATGGAGCACATTCTCGGCAGATCATGGAGGCCCCCCGGCCCGAGCCCCTGCTGCTTGTGCTCAGCAGCGCTCGGCGCTGATTCCTTTATCATCACTTTCCATCTCGAAGGAGCCGGGACATACAGGCGGCCTTCCTTTCTGCCTGCTCATAATGCTGGCTGCATTCTTTAGACAAATATCCTGCCTCTTTGGGACTGTCAAAAATGCACGTTCCTGAGTGGGGAGGAAGGTGTGTGCTTAGCACCCCCTTGTCGCATTCATTATTTAGGGCTTTTTGCACCGTTCGCCTTTGAACGGGACTCTGGTTCCACGGTGGGACCTCAAGTGGAGCACACAGTCACACGGGCTGAAGTACCTGTTTCAAACCCTTTTATGCCCAGCATGGAACCTGGCTGAAACTTGCTGTGAAGATCAGCTGTTTTAATGACACAGACCTAAGCCTTAGTAAGGTTCATGTCATTTTTTTGCGTGAGAAATACTTGGTGGTTTTCTTCTGCCCTCCCCTGTGAACGCCTCTCAATATTCTTATGGCTGAAAAAATACCTTTTATCCTTCACTATATAATTGCCTGGTTTAAAAGTCTTGTAAGTGGTTGTATTAGGCATAAAATAGTTTCTAATTATCAGTAATGACATTTTAGGGCCTTCAAAAGAGATATTCTTAAAAATTTGGCATAGTGGTAAACACAGGTTGTCAAACTGGTAAGTTGGACTCGATGTTAATTTCCTTTTGATGAAACATAGATTTGGAAATTGAAAGGAATGATCAGACCCCCCCCCAAGATATTTTCTCACTTGGGGTGTGGTCTTTGTCAATCACTTTGACTTTCCGAGTCTCGTTTTCCTGAATGAAAATGGTGACCGTCTTCTACCAACACCTCAGGGCTTCGGTGAGACTCACGGGGCAGTGTGGAAGCATCTTCTGTCACAGTGGGGCTGCTTTTATAGACCTTGGGGAGGTAAAGAGGGAGGAACATTATGGATTAGGTGCCCCCATTTATTTTATGGGATGTCCTGTGATGAAAAGAAAGGCTCAAGTTTCATGATAAGAGAGGACAAATCTGGGCTCAATATAACAAAAAATTTCAGGCTATCTGAGCTGATTTTCAGAGGAAAGTGCAGCCTCTCAGAGTAGTGAGATCTCTGTCCCTAAGAGTATTCAAGCTGCAGATAAATGGCTCTATGAAGGATTCCTGTATAGTGAAGGTGACTGCAGTCATGGACCTCAGAATGATTTATCTACTCTCTCATTCCATGTGCCCCTATGTTCATTATGTATAGTATTTATTTACCTCACCATTGTCTTACTCCCAGTATCTCAGCTGCCAAGCCACATACCCTAGATGCCCCATGTCTACCTTCATCATTGTGATTTAGAGTCACCCACTCTGAAATTCATAGCAGTAAGTGTGGCATTGCCCTGGAAGTTAGTGCTCTAGATGGAAAGAAGTTTACCAGGTGTGATAACCAAGTCATACCACTGAGCAAGCATTGGGCATAGTGTAGGTGCCTAGAAAATCTGTTTTGCCTAAGTTACCTCTGGAGAGCTTGGAATCCAGGCTCTACATCTTGCTGCTGTGTCCTGAAAAGAAACCACACTGGGAGAGACTGATAGAAATCCCCACTGGAATTTGAAGCCCAAGCCTCCATTCAGTTCCTTTCTTTGTTTTATAGTGTTAGGCAATAACCATATGCAGTAAGAGTCCAAGGCTGACTTCGCTGTGGGGAAGGCAGGTAGACTTAATTGAGCATCTGCTATGTGCCATGGGCTAACAAGGTTCTGATGTTGGCTTATCTTTCAGTCATCTTAATTCTGGGAGGTAGGTGTGATTTAGATGAGGAAACAGAGGCTTCTAGAGGTCACATAACTCACCCATGATCACAAAGCTGGTAAGTGGCAGAGCCAGAATTTGAACCCTAGGTTGTTCTGACTCAGGCACCCACACAATTTCCACTAAAACATACTACTTTTAAGATGAAAGAAAATGCAGAGCCCTTCCTCTCCTTACTATCACCCTAATCAGAACTCAGGCCTCAGGTCCCCTCACCCATTCCTCATTGTTTCTAGTCTTTAGAACAGCACTTAGTCCCCAGGAGGCCCAGCACTTGGTTGCTGGCTGTGCGCACCTCTCGCCTTTAGATTGAGTTCCATGAACCAGGCCCCTGTCTGATTCATTCCTCAACCCTCTCTCTGAGAGGCACACTGCTTTCTTCGTCCTGATATTGAAAAGGCATTTGTGACTCACAAAGAACAAATCTTGATGAAGCTGCCCATCCCCAAAGATCAGAAAGCTTCTCATATTGCCATTTCTGTCTCCTACCCTCCAAATGCTTGTGCGTTTCTTTAGGAAACCCCATTTCCCCAACAATCAGTATTCAGTTGATTTTCCTTGCAATAAATTTAATTCCGTTTCCTGCTGAAAATGTAGGAAACATCAATCCATTAATGTAGAGAATTTCTCTGGACAACTGTTTCCCTCCCTGCCATCTTTATTTTTCATGGCCAATAAATTTTCATTCACAATTCAGCAGTTGGTTTTTCCTTTAGTTTGAAATCTGGATCAAGATGTTGCATAATTGGATTAAATCTAGTCTGAACATTTGTCAGTTTCACTTTCTCATTAAGCACCACATTGTGGAGAAATTATAATTATCGCAATGCAGTTAACATAGATGTCACACAAGAGGAGGTCGGCCCAAAGTGAGGGAAAGGAATTTGAATCTACACATTGCCACAAAAGAAACAGGATTTTGATGTTTTGATCTTTCTTAAGTGGGCTTTCTTTTTGTTGTACTTATAAAGTGTCCTGAGGTAGAATGCTGAATTCCCAGACACGTTAGAGCTGGTAGGAGCATCGCAAGATGCTGTGTGCTTTAGCCTCCCAGCAGTGCAAGAGCCCCTCGAGGATGACTGAGAAGCGCAGGTGAACACTCCTGACTCGGGCATTGGCTCATATACCTGCAGTGACAGACCTTCATTATTTTTATAATCTCAGAGCTCCCATGGCTACAAAGTCCTTTTTTTATTGAATTTCCTTACAATTTCTATTCATTTGTTGATTCATTCATCCATCCATTAGGCAAATATTTGCTGAGAGCCACCTACCTGCCAGACAGTGTTCTGCTCGCTATCTGGGAGGCACTGACACAGCAGGGACAGCGTGCAGTTTGGAGTTAGTTGGAGCTTTAGGTTTCTAACTGTGGGACTCTGGGCAAGGTGCTTGATCTTTCCGATTCTTCTTCGTGACTAGTTCCCAACACAGGGAGAGCTGCTTCCCTGAGTCTTGTGAGGATTAAATAGCAGATAGGACTTC